CTGTTGGGGCACCACACCCTGTCCCCAATGTCCACCCTCATCATTCCCTGGGGATCTTGCTGCTCCCCTCCCCTGCTGTTCCGCTGCACTCCCCCAGTGCTTTGCCTCAGTGTTGCGGTATCAGATCGGGTGAAATTCCCACACTGTGTCTCTGGTGGTGTCCCCCGCAGGGCCAGAGGTCAGTGAGGGGCATCATGTCTCATAGTGGGGCTATAGGCACAATTTACATATACAATTGAATAGTTCAATCACTCAGTCATATCAAGGGAAATTGTTCAATCACCACTACATCAATCTTAGAGCACCCCCATATAATTAAATCTCCTTTAAAATTAGTTGTGCAATCACAATCAGTTCTATTGATCCCTCTTCCCTCCCACCTTCATTGTTTACTTCCGAAATCCCCTTTCCCTCCCTTTCATCTGCCCTTCACCCCATCAGTTCACCCATCCATTCCTCCTGTGCTTCATGGTTGGGAACCCAACAGAAAACAATAAAAAACAAACTGCACTAAGGTGCTAAGGATAAAATCACAATAGTTTAAAGATAAAAATACAGATAGTTGTATGAGCCCCCAATAAAATGATTTTAAAAAAATACAAATAATGTGTGAGAGGGAAAAGACCCCCATCAACATTCAAAAAGTCGGAGAAGAAATGTCTATCATGGAACTTCTAAGTCAGCGGTTCTCCACCTGTGGGTCACAACCCCTTTGGGGGACCAACGGCCCTTTCATAGGGGTTGCCCAATTCATAACAGTAGAAAACTTGTAGTTAAGAGGTAGCATCGAAAATAATTGTATGGTTGGGGGCCACCACAACATGAGGAGCTGTATTAAAGGGTAGCAGCATTAGAAAGGTTGAGAACCACTTCATATTTGCATCCAATCTTTACCCTTGTCTTAACCAAGACTTTTCCCAGTTCATCACTTGAAGTTCTGCTTTTACTTGCTGTTTTATCATACTTGAATCCCACTTTTAACCCCTTCAAAAATTTTAATTGATACCATTCTAGAAACCTTTTGACCGTCCATCTTTCCAACTTTCTCGTTTCTGCCCCCGTCATCATCATTATTGCAAGAGAGAAATCATTACACTGTGTTAAATTGCTACAGTTAGAGTTATGATTTCTTTTTCTTTGCAAATTTTTTATTATGCTCTCGATTTCCATAGTGGTTCTGCTCTTCTTTCAGCCTTTAGCTTTGTTATCCTTATCCTGCCTTATTACCTAATACATAGTCATGTGTCATTTGTTGAATACGAGTGAAATACCTTCAGGGGCTAATGATACGGTCTTGTCGTCATCACACTCACACTCTGTGGTATATTATGGTTATAATAAATTGCATGGAAAAGATATCTCAGAACTGGAGGACAGGAAAGGATTGGAAGTAAGTGATGCTTGAACTGGGCCTTAGAAGATGAGTATGAATTACATGTGGCAGAAAAGAGGCATAAGGATGGCATTCCAGTCTCAAGGGATCACCTGTGTGAAGAACTAGAGGTGTGGATTAAATCAAACTGGAGGTAAGTTACAAAAGGAGGAAAGGACTGAAATGAATCCATTTAATTGACAGAAAAGTTTGAGTTGATCTGACACAGCTCCTTCATTGGTTTCTCTGACCACATGTAGACAAACAGCTCTGTATTTAAAACTCATCTTTACTCTTTTTCCTGTTCTAGGCCTTATCCTCTCTGCTGATAGTGGATTGAACTCTTTCTCCTTCATACGCGTTTCTGCCCTTTCCCCCCCTCAGTTTAAAGAGAACATTTATTAGGTCTTAAAAGAGACCGAGACACAGACACGTCATCCGGATGAGGGAGGCCACTAACACGAGGTTAAAATGGCATTCCCCCAGTTCTGCTCCTTTAATTCTTTGGTTCAAAACCTATCAGCAACTCCACGTTATTCAGTGCATTAGGTGTTGACTTCTCTGACATTCTCCCTGCACCCTTAGCTTTTCAACTGGACTTCCTCTGCTCCAAAGCTCCAGTGGTCATTTCTTTCCTGTCTTCCAGGCTTCTGTTCACTCTATTCCTTGTTCTGGCATTTCTCCCCTACCTCCTTTTCTTTGGGCAACCTCAGCCAATAATTGTGTTAATTGTTTAACAGTTTATTTTTCAAATAGGGGATAATCATTTTATTTTGTAGAATTATTTTGAAAGTAAATTTTTTACCATATGTATAAATTGATGACTTACATGTTGGATGGCATATGACTTATTTCCGATCTTCTATGCTATTAAAAAGAGCCTTGGTGGAAATGTTGGGCAGGCATTGGGCTATTACCCACAAGACTGGCGGTTAAACCCACAGCCACCCCACAGAACAAAGATGAGGCTGCCTGCTCCAGGAAAGATGTAGCCTCAGGAAACTTATATGTAGGATTGCTCTGAGTTGGAAATGATTTGATGGCAGTGAGTTTTTGTAATTAGTTTTATGCTCTTAAATTTTAAACAAGCTATAGCAATATAGAAACTTACATAGCTGTGCTTCTAGAAAAGTCAGCAAGATTTAATGTGTTTTTAAAGATTATTTTAATAAAATTCAATGGATTATTACTGAATTTAACAATGTAAGTTGTTACTATTTATAGTCTGCAACATTCTAACCTCTCCGTCTTAACATATTTTAAAGGAAACTTGTTGTTATTCTTTATTTTATAAGTTAAATATTAGGGAAGGCTTGCCCTTTTTACTTTAATATAGTTATTTATGTTTTCTACCCTTGCTTTAGAGGTAACTGTGATACTATGTAATATTTGGTGGAGTCTAACTTGGAACTACTTGGATAGTGAGCATTTCCAGAAGTGTTGACTTGTTTGCATTTTGTTTTGTGTTTCTTCTTTCATAGTGAAGAGGTCTGTATTTTGTCTGCATCCGGGACGGCAGCTGTGCTGAACCCTAGATTTCTACAGGATGGGACCGTGGAGGGCTGTTTGGAACAGAGGTTGTGATGACAGCCTGCTTTCTTTTCTGTAGGGGCAGAGAGGGGCGAGGCCGACTTCCTTTTCTCAGCGCCACGATAGTTCTTCTCTATGTGGGTGGGTTACAATGGTGTATTATAGTTCTTGGGATCCAACTCTTCTCTAAGTTTGCACCATGTTGTGGATGTTGTTTCAAGTACTTTAAATGACGTGCCACGTAGGCCTACCAATTGGAGAATTGAGAGTATACAGTCTATTGGTTTTGTCACTATTTAGAGATCATTTTCTCTACTTGATTTTTTTCTTTGTTTTCCATAGTTTTCTCTCCCAAATTAAAAAAGTTCATGATGCAGTTTTCAAAAAGAAATTTGCAAAAGATAGCAATACATTGTATAAATTTATATGTAATAACTTCATAGAAAGTGAAGGATAAGTTTGATATATGAGTGGAGCTTTAAAAGTTCATGGAAAAATTTGATTATCTTTTCTGTTTCTCCATGAACTTTTTTGACGCCTCCTCATATATGGAAATGAAAGTGAGTGAATGTATTAGGTAAAATGAGCCTTTTTTTGTAGTTTATTTAATTGTTAGCCCTTGTCAAAAATCCTTTCCACAAACAGACAAAACAGGTAAAATACATTAACATCAAACCAAGGAGCCCTTTTGGCATAGTGGGGTTACATGTTGGGCTGCTAACCTCAAGGTAGACAATTCGAAACTGCCAGCCCCTCCATGGGAGAAAGATGAGGCTTTCTGCTCCAGTAAAGACATACCATCTCAGAAACCCACAGATGCACTTCTGCTCTGTCAATACGAGGGTCATTATGAGTCAGAATTGACTCAGTGGGAGTGAGGTTTTTTGATGTTCAGATGATTTCACCGATGTCTACTTGGATAATATAAATCTCAATAACCCCTTGCATAATTACTCCAGAGTAAGCTTACACTACATTTTTCTTGTCTGTTTTTCTACTAATAAGAATATATTAAGGGAAAAAAGCAAAACTTAATTGATATCTTTTTAGGTAGATATTTTTATTTTTTGGAGAAGGCTTTGGAGTTAAATAGTTTAAGTCACACAACTCCAATTTAGATTTGTCCATCTTCCTGGCTACTTCTGTTTTATCAGAATATCATCTCAACAAGAAAATAATAAAATCTGTAAATAATATAATGTGATTAGAGGCTTTTTATGAGAATTCAGTCAAGTAAGCATGTAAGGAATCTACAGAAATCCTCTATTATCAAAGCTGGAGTGTGACGTTTCTTTGTCCTTTCTAAGTTTCAGCTTCTTAGATGTTGCTTTAAATTAGGGAGATTGAAACCCCACCTCTTCCCAGAACCCTTGAAGATGTGGCAGAATGAAACTCTGGGTTCTCTACCTTTATTCCTGTCCTTGCTGAAGAAAAGAAGTCTAGTTGTTGAAACTCATAGTGAATGACCCAGTAGGACAGAGTAGAAACTGCCCCTGTAAGTTTCTGAAACTGTAACCCTTTATTGGAGTAGAAAGCCTCATTGTTCTCTAGAGGAGCGGGTGGTGGGTTTGAACAGCTGACCTTTGGTTAATGGCTCAACTTCTAACTACTGCGCTACCAGAGCATCCATAGGGTTTCTAGGAGTCAGAATCGACTCAGTGGCAATCAGTGACTTTTTTTCTATGAGTTAATGAAACACCTTACTTATTCTAAAATGTATTCATAAATAGCCTATTACTATAAACCATTTATAATAAATAAAGATTTGCAGATGGTACATTTATGGTTAACGTACTATGGAATGTTTATGGAACATCGGTGTTTTGATTTTCAGAACTGTTGAAACAGTCATTGGTAATTTGAAATATTGGGCTGATTTATTTCTGAGAAGATTTTTTTTCTTTTCAGACTTTTTTTAACATCAAGTTTTCCCACAAATTGTTAATTTGTCTGGTTTTTAAACTACTTTTCATAGGTTTTGTATGTGTATGTGTGATTAAATTTCTTTCAAATTTGTCAACCAGTGGGAAATCACCATTCATGTACAACCATTTATGTGTTTCATGTACTTACCACTGTGTCTACAAAGGTTTAGTGCTTTCATGTAGAAAAAAATGTGTGGTCATAGTGGTCTTTACCTGGTTGTAAATCATCAAACCAATAAATTGGTTCAAAATGATTTTCTGCTTGTATAATCCTTTTCTCTCATAGAAAAGTTAATGGTTCTGGTTTTATGATCACTTGTAGTTTGTAATAGTGCAGGCGTATGGTGTCCGTTTTTTGAAAGAAATGCATAAACTTTTCAAGAATATTTTTTTTTTCTTTCTTAATGCATCTATAGGCTAGAAGAAAATTTGCCTGCAGGCTGTGGATTTTGCCATATCCCATATGATGAACTAAATATGCCTTTTCCAGCACATCTGACATATTGCTATAACTGCAGGAAACAAAAAGTTCCTGATGTTCTCTTTACAACTATAGATCTCCCAATGGATGCAACAGTTATTGGAAAAGGTTGTCTTATTCAAGCAAGGTAGGCTTATATCACAGAAAAAGTATGGGGTCTGGAGTCAAATTGACTTATTTTTAAGGATTTGTTTTGTTTCCAGTCTGTGTGATCCTGGCAAGTCATCCTACCTGAACCTGGCACTATATTAAATTATTTTAAATTTATCTATATAAATAATATATATGTATATGTATGTATGTATATAACTGGCAAATTTTAAAATGGGAGAAAAATACTTTTTTTATAAAACTCAAATAGTGTGTGTGCAAAAGCAGATTTTCATGTTTTAGTCCTGTTTCAATGTTAACTATTATGGGGACTAATAGCTGACTACTATTAAGGGTAAGGATGCAAATCTGTATAGTCAGCTTTAATGATATTAAATGCAAAACACTTTTAAATTGACTGCTCTTTTTCTTTTAAAGAACAGTGACAGGTATTTTCTTATAACTACTTCCTTTAGGTGTTAAGAGTTTCCTTTAAAATGTACTGGAGTAGGAAACGCTAGTATGTTCCAGGCATACAGGAAATAGTGGTAACGATGTCTAGCTTGCTAACAGCTGCCAGGCTATCCAATCCATTGGATATTTCTTCCCTCATCTTAATTTCACATGTCTGCAGTAGCCAGTATCATTGACCATTTTATTGGTTTTGAAACTATTTAACTTAACTTCCCCATGCCATATTTGCTATTGTTCTCTACTTTTCTTATACACGCTCATCCTTTTATGACCCTTCAGAACTCGGTGTCGGACCCTTCTCTAAAATATTCCCCTAGTTATACTTATCAAATCTTAATGTATAGACCATATATCTGTATGTCTACTGGTCCCAGATTTAGACCTCCAGTCTAGAACTTTCATATAAGCTGCAGACACATATGCCCTAATTGATGTGTTATGAGCATCTCATTCTGTCTGTCCACCCAAGAAAGCTCCTTAGAAGTGTGGGTGGCAAGACCACTCCCTAGGAAAGGACATCATCTTTGGTAGAGGGTCAGCAAAGAAGAGGAAGACCCTCCAGGAGATAGTTTGATATAGTGACTGCACAGGGGTCTCCAACCTAACAATAGTGTGAGTATGGTGGAGGACTGGGTAGTGTTTAATTCTGTTGAGCCTGGGTGGTTCATGAGCCGGAACCGACTTGGCAGTGCCTAACAATAACAATAGGCATGTTAAGTGTGTCCCAAAGTAAACAGATTTTCTTCACTTCCTCCCTATCAATTTGCTGTTTTAATAAATGATACTCTCTTTGTCTAGTCCCTTATGCCAAATCTGATCGTAATTTGACATTCTCTTTTTCCTTAACTTTCATATCAAATTAATTACAAAGTCTTTTTGAGGTTTATTTTGAAATATATTTCTGACGCATCAACTAAGTCTACTACATGCAAGAAGCACACCAGCCTGTGTGATCTAAAGCTGTTTGTGAGCTAAGGAGACCACATGGCTGCTAATTGAAAGGTTGGAGGTTGGGACCCCACCATTCGCCACACAAGGGAAAGATACAGCTGCCTGCTCCTGGAATGGTTATACAACCTTGGAGACCGTACATGGCAGTTCTGCTCTGTTCTATAGGGTCCCTAAGAGTCAGAGTCAGCTTGATGGCAGTGGGTTGGTTTTAAATTTTGGTTTGTTAGCTGCTCTGTTTGTCTTAGCTTTTCTTTGCTTTTATTACAAAGGGCTCAGATACGGGTTTCTTTATCCTAACTGCCAAGACAGAACTTCTTGCCTTGGTGTCAATCTTGTGATTTAGAAAATGGGTAGGTATATAGTTATGCAGAGGTATTAGCTATCTAGGTGGGCTTGTATTTTTAGAGGCACTTTAAAATACGCTTAAGCATTTTTCAGGGAAATTGATTATGTATATTTCATACTCCAAACGAACTGTATGGCAATATCCCCATGTAACTATTTCTTTGATACTTATCATTTTATCTCTTTCAACTTCACAGTCTAAAATAATATAAATCTTTGCTGGTGTACAAAATGTAAATTCATCCCCCAAACAATCGAACCCTTGATTTTCTGCCACGGTGCACACTCAACTGCGTGTCATATCCGTTTGCGTCTGTGCAAACGGCAACTGCTCTTTTGCTTTCATTTGCTTCCGCAAATCTTCTTAGCGAGGTGACATGATAAAGCCGAGTTTCTTCCAGTGATGAGACAGAATTTTCAAAGCACCTGATTTAAACTGCTCTTCTACATCTAAACAGTGTAGCATTGTAGATTATTTTAATGGTATTCTGATTGGCCATCTGTAATACTTTGTAAAAATGTAGCATTACAAGCTCGCCCTCTGGTCCCGTGTTTCTGTGTCTTGCTTCAATAGTGTTTGAACAGAACAGATCCGGGGACACCCTTCCTCCAACCTTCCACCACTCTCCAGTTTCATTTCTGGACGTAACTTCGGGACTATCTTCTTGGCCATCTCCTCTTATTGGGACCAGCTAACACTTTTACTTTGTGTGTGGTGAACTCCAAACCGACCAATCATGAGCTCTCAGATCCTTCAGAATTAGTCCGCCGAAGCTGAGGCTCATGTCAAGCGGCAGGTCAGGCTGCATCTGCGGGCCTCTTACACCTACTTCTGGGCTTCTTTTTCGACTGCTGCAGTGTGGCTGTGGGAGGCGTGGGGCACTCTTCTGTGAGCTGGCGAAGGAGATGCACGAGAGAGCCGAGGGTCTCTGGAAGCTGCAAAATCAGCATGGTAGCCACGCCCTCTCCCAGGATGGGCAGAAGCCACCCAAGATGAGTGGAGCAGAACCCTGGATGCCATGGAGGCTAGGCTGCCCTGGCCCTGGAGAAGAGAACTCAACCAGGCCCGTCCGGACCTGCATGCTGTGGGGTCTGTTCACACAGCACCCCCATCTCTGTGACTTTCTGGAGAACTACATCCTAGACGATGAGGTGAAACTCCTCAAGAAGATGGGCGGCCCCCTGACCCACATCCGCAGGCTCGCCAGCCCCCAGGCCGGGCTGGGCGAGTATCTCTTCGAGAGACTCACCCTCAAACACGACTAGGAACCTGCGGTGTCTAGCCACCTCCGAGGGGCCTTCTGCCTACCCCCTGCCGGCCGCAGCCCTTCTACCTGACCCTGCCCTGCCAGCCGCAGTGCCACCACCCAGGAGCCTGTCCCCCAAGCCGGGGACCAAATGGAAACAATAAAGCTTATTTTTGCAGTAAAAAAAGAAAAATGTAGCATTGCTTTCATGGCCTGCATGTAATATAAGTAGTTACACCATCTCATATTCACATGACTTTTCAAATTTAAATACAGATGAGCAGACAGATAAAAAATATTTTCTTTTCGACCTTAAAATGAGAAAGTTTTCGATATTGCATAGCATTACACATTTATACCTATTTTAACATTAACTTCTAGAGCCAGGGGTCAGTGAGGGTTGAGCCAGTAATGACAGGGATGGGAATAGCAAGCCTTTTAAAATTCACGGTGAGGAGGGTATAGCATTACTGATCCTGTTTGATCAAACAACATGTATCTGAATTGCTTAGAGGTGAGCAATGGGAAAACATGATGGTGCAGGGGGAAAAAAGAAGAGGAAAGAAGATGAAACATATATATGTATAAATATAGGTGTGTATATATGTAAATATATAAACATGTAAGAAAAGTATATTTGTATGTGTATATATATGTATATATACACAACAAGGAAGCAGATGGACTTTGGACCTCTACTTAAATATTACCTCAGTACAAGAACAGTTTGTGTTAATGTGGCACTGTATGATTCCCACCTTCCCTATATGATTGCTGAAGACAAAATGGGTGCATAAGTATATGTGATGAAGAAAGCTAATAGTGCCCAGGATTAAAATTTATAGCATCTGGGGTCTGAAAGGCTCAAAGTTAACAAGTGGCAATCTAGCAATGAAGCAACAAAGCCCACATGGAAGAAGCACACCAGCCTATGTGATCATGAAGTATTGAAGGGAATAGTATCAGAAGTTCAAGAACAATCAAATTCATGTGAAGGAGTGTGGACAAAGTAGAGATCCAAAACCCACCTGTAAGGTAAGTGGGACAGTCCCTCACAAGGCCCGCACAGAAGAGATGATAAATCCAGGGTTAGCAGTATAGCACTAATGAACCACATAACCATCTTCTGGTTCTTTAATATTTACTCCTTACTATTATAATACTACTTTTACCTCATTAATCTTATTAGACCTGTATATGTTCATTTGTATAATTATGATCCATTTGGTGCATGAAAACCTAGATAGATAAGTCCTTCAGAAATAGTAACAGGAGTGATGATTCCCTGAGCGTACAGGGAGAGGAAGGAATGGGGAGGGCGGAGCTGATAGCAAGGATGACTATAACCCCATTTGAGGGGAGTGGATAACATTTGTAGGTGAATTGATATAATGGATGGGGTAAGATACGGCAAAAAATAATAGTAAGGGTTCCTGGGGGTTAGATTGGGGGAGGGAGGAGATAAAGGGGAGCTAATAACAAAGAGTTCAAGAAAAATGCCTTGAAACATTGTGGTAGCACTTGTACAATTATGTTTGGTCTAATTGAATTATGGAATGTTATTACATCTGTAAGAGCTCCAAATGATTAATAAAAAAATTCATCCCCGTTATTTTAATTCTGTAGCTTTACTCTATCCTATAGCAAGTGCATGATTTATTAACTTGTTACATTAAAATTTTTTTTGATATATTCCTGGTTCTACTGTATAAATTTTACAGTTTGCTACAGTTTAATATGTAACCAGTTGCAAATAAGGAACTATGTTTAATGCCATAAGTGACAATAACAGGTTGAATGTCGACCCTCGGCGACATTAACAACTTGGAGAGAAACAAGAGTCAAACAATTAGCTATGTTACAAGAATTCTCATGGGAAATTTTCTTCAGTTATGAAACACCTATTTTGAACTTGTAAATATCTTAAGTGTTCTATGAAGGCATGTAATAAGTTATTTGAAATATGTTGGGAAAGCTGATTATAAAAAACAGAAATGACATCCATTGATTGTTCCCCCCATTTTTGGGGTGTATCCTCTATGTATGTTGCTATCTTGCATGTATTTTCGTTTTGTCTCTTTATACTGCATTTGGCTGTGTATTTAAATTGTTTTTTTACAACCTTACCACCTTCAAAGTACTCTCCATTACCCCTCATACATATGTCAAATCTGCGATTCTGTTCTTGGAAACATTTTTCAAATTCAATCTGTTTGGATGGCTAACAACACCTCTCTTGTTTTTTTCTTCACCTCTTATAAGTTGTCACATCGCTGACCTTTCATGTCCCTCTTCAGTCGCAAAAGTCGCAGGAGGCGAGGTTAGTTGAGTTAAGGTGCGTGGGACAAGAGAGGCAATGATGCCTTTTGCCAAAAACTGGCTCCCTGAGAGCACTGCGAAAGCAGGTGCATTGTTGTTGTGGCAAAACCAGTACCCCATCTGTCATAAATCAGGCCTTTTTGTCGCACACTGTTGGGCTGTCTTTTCATAATCTCTAAATAGAAAGTTTGCTTAACAGTCTGACTTGGTGGAAAGAACTCCAAATGCACTATCCCCCTCACATAAAAAATAACAAATGAGCATCATCTTGAGCTTTGATTTCACTGGAGGAGTTTTGGGGGTGGCCAGGTGATGAGGGTATCTTCCACTGGCTTGATTGATGAATGTTTTCAGGGTCAGAAGAATAGCACCATGTCTCATCAACACTACTTGGGGGAAAAGTCTGGGTCACTTTGGAGCTGTTCTTTCAAAGCACGGTATATTTCCAGTCGGCACTCTTTTTCCTGGTCAGTCAGAACCTGAGGTACAAATTTCCCAGCGACCCTTCTCATTCCCAAATCTTTTGTTAAAATTCGCTGAACCAAGCTCCGTGATAGTCCAGATAACTTCCCTATCTCTTCAGTGGTCCTTTGTTTTTCTTTGAGCACAAGTGCATGAATTTTGTTGACATTTTCATTCCTTTGAGAAGTTGATGGATGTCCAGAGCAAGGTTTGTCATCAATCAATATTTGGCCTCCTTTGAAAGAGAAAACCACCAGTACACTGGAGTTTTTCCCATAGCCCTGTCCTTGTAAGCTGTGTTCAACATCACAACAGTTTCTGCGACATTTTTCTTGAGCAGGAAACAAAATTTCACAGCCACATGCTGTTAAATCAGCCAGCACAAGAAATGTTCGAGTGAAATTGCTTTTATGAAAAAAATTCACTGTGACCAGAGGAGACCTTCCCAGGTGACGTCACTAGGTACACTACCTCAGAGTGAGTTGCTTGATGCTTGTCTTGCGGCACAAATGCATAACTGAAAGTTTTGCCTAGTGGAGCTTTTTCCATTTGGGGGGTGGCGTATCCCCTCTTCTAGTTCTTTCTGTTGTTTCTACTGTTGCAGTTACTGTTCATTATGTTTGTTTCCTTTGGTTTTTGGATATTTGACAAAATTTTAATAGGAATAGCTTGAAGCCCAGGATGACAGCATGTTCCTTAGATTTGTCTGGGTTTTTTGCCCGAGTGTTTGGGATCATCTTAAGCCACAGTCAAGATTTGAGGTTCCTTAGAACTGCTATCGATTTATACCCCAGGCAGCAGTATTTGACAGAGCTGGGGCTGTTTTAGTTCACCTTCACTTTGATGATGTAGATTTTTGGTGTCCCAGATTAATGTAAGGACTCTTGTGCCATCCTAGACCTTTATTTATTTTTCCCATGTCTTCAGAGAGCAGTGAGGCTCTCTATTCTCAGAAAGATTTGCAGTCTTGGAAACCCGCTGGGGCTATTCTACGCTGTCCTGTATGGTGGGTTTGAGTCAGAATCGACTCGGCTGTGAATCTTTAAAGGTTTTTTTTAATACTTTGAAGTTATTAAAGTAGAAGTCCAAATTTGGTAGACTTTAAAATGTACTCCAGCCAAAATGGTTTCTGTGCTTACTGAGTTTTCTCTTCAGTTCTAGCTGGTTAGTTACTCTTAGCCTAGCTTTCTGATACTGAGTTTTCAGCTTTTCAGTGCTGTATTTTGAAATAATTGTGGAGCCCTAGTGGTGTAGTGGTTATGCGTTGGGCTGCCTGGTAGGAAGTTTGAAACCACCAACAGCTCTGCGGGAGAAAGACACGGTTTCTACTCCCATAAACAGTCACAGTCTCAGAAACCCCCAGGGGTCACTGTGCATCAGGACTGACTCGACAATGAGTTTGGTTTTTTGGTTTTAGACTTACAGGTAATTGTAAGACAAGAACAGAGTCCCATGTGCACTTGACCCAACTTCCTTCAAGTGTGACATATAGTTATGGTAGAATATCATAACTAGGAAATTAGCATTGTTACAATACTGATAACTACATTTACCGACCTTATTCATTACCATGAGTTTTTATGTTAGTCTCTTTCTCCTCTCTGTCTCGCTCTGTGTCTCTTTGCGCGCGCGTGTGTGTGTGCGCGCGTGCGCGTGCTTGCATGTATTTCAGTGAAATTGTGCTCCAGGAGTTAGATTTGTGTAATTACCACTGTAGTCAAAACATAGAACTCTTTCATCATCACAAGCTTCCTCATGCTGCTGCTTTATATTTATACTCTCCCCCTCATCTCAGTCCTATCCTTCATTTAAGAATGCTTAATTCGTACCTCTTTTGGTTTTGTTTTGTTTTTTGAGTTAGGTGGGTAGTGTCTATGTGAGTGGTCCTCAGAGTGTGGTTCCTAGGTCGTTAGCATCACCATCCTTTGGGAAAATGTGAAGTTCACATTCTCAGATCCCTTCGCAGATCTACTGAATCACAAACTCCTAAAATAGAAACTGGGTCATGTTAATACTTACAACCTATCTGCGGTTGCCCATTGCTGGTCAAATCAAAGCAAACGCCTGGCTCTGACTAATAGCATGTTAATAAGATCATCCCTGCTGAACTGTGTACCCTCATCCGTACCACTCTCATCTTTGTGCTCTTCACCGTGGCTCTAACAGTCTCCTTGTTTCTTCCATTGGTCAGCTCTATCTTTTCATGCTCTTACACCGTCTCCCCCAGTACCATCATATCCGTTAAATCTCAGGTCATGAGCCCTTCTCAAATTCTGTCCACGTCACCTGGTTTGTTATATTTAGCTAACCGGTCCTTGACTCATCTGAAATGACTGTTTCTTGTTTACGTTCACTCCGGCACATTGATAGGTAACCGTGAGGGCAGGACCTGTGTTTTCTGTTCAAGATGAGTGCTGACCACCTAAACCAGTGCTTCCTGCGTAGTAATTGCTCAAGCAACTTCTGTAGACTTTAAATGAGTGCACGCACTTGTTTTTATACCCTGTTGTTTATGTGCCGCTTGAGACCCAAGATTTCAAATTGTATTGTTTGTTGATTGTAGTGAGTACTTATATATATTTCTTTTCTTGTGATTTTAAGGTTTTTCACTTTTGTTTATTAAATTGTGACTTTGTGCAAGGTTACACAATGAGATAAATGTCAGAAAAGATTATTGTTATAACTGCTGTCCATTTGAAACAAGTAAATATTTTTAAAACCACCCATATTTTTACAAAGTTTTACAAATTACACGTCTTAAGATGCTACCAAGGAAATTGTCCACTGATTAAATTATTTTTCTTAACAGATTATGTCGATTGAAAAAGAAAGCACAGGCCGAAGCAAATGCTACAGCCATCAGCAATCTGTTGCCATTCATGGAATATGAAGTACACACTCAGTTAATGAATAAACTAAAGCTCAAAGGAATGAATGCCTTGTTTGGACTGAGAATTCAGATCTCAGTGGGTGAAAATATGTTGATGGGTTTAGCTGTAAGTATACATTCTTTTGTTTTGTGCTTTCTGTGGTTGTACTAGAATCTGTGGTGTTTTGGGGTTTTTTTGGGGGTGGGGAGGGAGTTTCAAAGTTTTTTAACCAGTCTTATCTACAGAAAGTGGCATCAAAGACCCTTATGGGTTAGTGATATTTTAGGAAAGGAAAAATCTGTTGGCAAGCTATCAAAAAATTTCAGGGATTCAATTGCATTTTAAAATTTATCATGTTTAGTGGGCCATTACTGTCCTGGGCTTTATTATCATGGACTGATAAAATAAGATTTCTCCATCTCGGCAGTATTGTCATGTTGGGCCGGACAACTGTTTATTTCAAGGAGCTCTCCTGTTCATTGTATGATGTTTAGCAGCACAGGTGCCTCTACCCTCCTTACATGCTAAGTGCCAGTAAATTCCCCTAGTGGGGACAACCAAAAATGTCACAAGGCATTGCCAGTCGTCCTTAAGAAGACAAAAATCACCACTGCTTGAAAGCCACTCTGCTAATAAAGTAATTTGTAGGTTTAATGAGACAATAAGACAAAATGGGAGACACTGCTCACTTTTGGACCAAGAATTAAAGTAAATGTGTGACCAATAGATGGTACAGTAAAAGATAGGTGTTTCTCATAAGACACGAGGCAGTGAGTAGCTCTTTCTCCACGTATGTTCACTTTGCCATTAGAAAATGAGTTCTAACTGGAATGACGTCCTGGGGAAAACCAGAGCTGCCTTAGAAATAGCATTGGGCCCAGAGAACTAGGGAGGTGCCTGCCAAATATAGATGACTTTGGATCAGATGGAATCTGAACAGTTTCTTACTCAATGGTATGTATGGGAATTATTGAATATTTTAGCAGGTTTTTTGCTACCTATGATTTTTAGTTATGTCGCTGGCAGTTTTTAAATTTGAGTTTTCTGCCATCTTTGTGAGACATGCATAGAAACCTAACTTTAATAAATTTATGAAATGGGAGCTTGGATGGGTTTACAGGGAAATGGCTAAATTGGTTTCTGCTGGGTTTCTTCTTGAGAACAAATATGTAAATTTCTGTAGGGATAATTGTGTAATGACAAACTGATTAGGTATAATTTTTAGGAGAAATTTGTAATGATTAAAGAAACTAATTTGGTGTATGTGAAAATAGATGATGATTGGGTTAGGAAAAGTATTCAATTTAATTTAGTGTCTAAACACACAGCAGAATGAGCCTCAAATGGAGTTTGGGCTCAACCCAAGACTGCTGTGCTTAGGGGTACCTATGTAAACTAAGAACTTGATTCAGATTCTACAGACTCTGCAGAACATTTGTGGTTGATCTGTGAAAACAAAATACAGCCTTTCTTGGTCTTCCGAGGATTCTCCTTTTAGTCACTTGTGGTACCGAGTGCAACTGTTTGGCTTTTGGATTTGGGTGCTGTTGTTTAACCTGTGCACGTAAACATCACTAGCTACTCTGAAGAGCGCTCACCAGCTGTGGTACTGCGCGGCTCCTGAAGGAATGCAATATTATTCATTTTTTAAGAGGAACAAACATGTTCTGATGTGTTGACATTTGCTCAAGGTGATAATGATTATATATGCTGGCACTGGATTTCAAACTTAGGTCTGTGTTTTAAACTTTCAAGGCTGATGCCTTGCTCATGACTGCAGCTAGAACGTGCCCCAGATGGTGTGTTTGAGCTTCGTATGTCGCAGAGGAGGTTCTGCAGTTGATTGTCAGAGGCAGGGTTGGGGTGTAGTAATGGAGACCAAGGAACAACCAGAGAGAGACAGCTCCTGAGCTTCAATGTCATGGGTTCATAAGAGTTTTTAGGATGGACTTTAACAAAATTGGCAATTTGTTTGCTTTAAGAAAAATTAATAATATATAACTCCTATATATAATTCAAAATATTATCTCAAGTTAAAAGAACCATCTTCTCTGTTTTCCATCCCACCCCTTTAATACTGAGAATTTGAGGTCCATGCATCCTTTTTTAACTTTGTATAGCGGGACATATTTTAACATAAATATACATGTGTATGTATCAATTCTATCCTGTTATGTTTTCCAGGATTAATGATATGTAGTACTATTTGAGTCAAATATTAGTAGGCATTTAATTCAATATTTAAAATAAATCAGTATCAAGTACCCTTGGAAATACGGAGATTAACTGCTTGGCTTTTAGAGTGAGAACCATATTTATCAACAATTGTGATCTGGAGAATTTATCCTTTTGTGAGCGTCAATTTCTTCATTTTGTTTTGCCAGTGTCCCATGCTTTGCAAGTGTTTCCTTTTTATTTTTGCCCGTATTACAGGTAGGTTATCCCATTTATGAAAAATTTATTTTTAAATAATATCTTTGTTTTTTTGTTAAACTATTTTCAAATGTAACTTACATTTCACCTTTGTAAGGTAAACCTGTAAAAGCTATAATTGGGTATGTTCTAAAAGTAAATCCTCCCTCTAACTCCCTTTTTCACTCACCCATGTTCTTCCCCAGAGGAGCCTTGGTGGCATCTTGGTTCCATGTTAGGCTGGTCACTGCATGGTCAGCAGTTAAAATCACCAGTATGCTCCTCAGGAGGAAAATGGAGCTTTTTACTCCTGTAAAGAGTGACAAGCATGGAAACTCACAGAGGGTAGTTCTACTCTGTCTTCTAGAGTCGCCACCAACTCGATGGCAGTGAGTTTTTGTTTTGGTTTATCATCTTTCCCAGAAGCAACCATCTGCTGCTACCCATTATTTCTCTGTGTGCACTTTCAGAGGTGCCTTATGTATATACTAATGCTTTATCTTCTTCCTACAGAACTAAGATTGCATTCCTAAATTTAAGGATTTAAGAACCATTCTTCTTCCTTTACTCTGATCATTCCTTTTTTTTTACAAGTCTGCCACAGGTGTGTATTTAGCAGCTTTACCAACACCTGGTGGTATTCAGATTGCGGGGAAGACCCCTAATGATGGCTCCTATGAACAGCATATCTCTCATATGCAAAAGAAAATAAATGACACAATTGCTAAGAACAAGGAGTTATATGAAATCAATCCTCCAGTAAGTAAAATAAACCTGTAATGAGAACACACCATTTATTGCTTAGGCATTACTACAATTTTAGGGGAATCTTATTTTAGATATAAGAAATGCATTTCCATGCTTGAGATGATGTTACTGATTGCTTTCATCTTGAGATAATGTCGATTGTCTCTTTGTAAGGAGGCCTGCTCGGACTCTGTGGAACTGAACTGTACACATACTGACTCCCAGAAAGATTGCTATTGAGTCTTTGGGGGTGGTGCAAGTGGTTAATGCCCTCACCTGCTGACAGAAAGGTTACTCAGAGGGGCCTCAGCAAAAAGGCCCAGTGATCGACTTCTGAAAAGTCAGCCATTGAACACCGGGTGGAGCACAAAGGTGCTCTGACACGTGGGGCACCGTGCGTGGAAATTAACCCCGTGACAACTGGTCAGCGTTTAAACTTTATTTTGCTTAATAAATCACATAAGAAAAATATGCATACTTTTGTGTATGCATAGCACATTTATACATACATAAGAGGGAACTTCAGAAAGTGTGTGGGGAAATGAATTTAAAAGATAACGGAATTTTTCCCACAAACTTTCTGAAGCACTCTTGTATGTATATAATATAATGCATTAAAAGAAATAATTTTATCGGGGGCTCTTACAGTTCTTAAAATATTTCATACATCAACTGTATCAAGCATATTTGTACATATATTGCCATCACCATTTCCAAAACATTTTCTCATATACTACATTTAACTTTGTAGAGCTTGAAAAAAAGTTATCAATCAGTAAAAAAAGCCATAAAGGTCAGCATCCTGTTTGGGTTATAAATCTTTAAGCCTTTTGGCCTATGAAGACCTTTATGTGTCTTATCACCTAGTGTGGTGTTTGTGACCTGCATTACCACTTCCTTACTCATTGTAGTGTCCTATGTGTCCACTAGATGTCAGTATTACCCTCCGATCTGTGACACATTTATAAAGTTTAGGATTCGTGTTTCAGTCAATGAGGCTCCTGCCACAGATAAAGGAAAGAGCCTTCATGAATGCTTGTAGTCAGAGGTCATAAGAATACATTTTGCAGACAGCCTTTCATCCTTCTCCCCTCCCCACCACCCAACAAAGAGAGGTAATTGTCCTATTTTCCCCCCCAAAATTGTCTAATTAAAGTATTAAAAGCCAAGCTGGAAAAAAAAAAACCAATCTTTTATGAAGGATTTTTTTTTTTAAGGAAATATCTGAAGAGCTTATAGGATCTCCCATTCCAGAACCTAGGCAACGTTCAAGACTTTTAAGATCTC